ATATAGACCAGGCTGGCCTTGAACTCACAGAGATCCGCCTGCCTCTGCCTCCCAAGTGCTGGGACTACAGGCATGTGCCACCACGCCCGACTGAACTGTTCTTAAATACAGTTCCAGGGGAATCCGAAGCCCTCTTCTGACCTCCGTGGCATTGCATGATACGGGTTCATTCACTTATATGCAGGCAATACGCTCATACACATAAAATAAAAATAATAAATAAAATATTAAAAAAAATACTGGAGTTTAGGTAGGAGAGGAAACTTGCTGAAGTCAATGTTGAGACTTCTGTGTTACAAAGGCTAAGGTACTGCCCCACTCATGTAGCTGCTTTGAAAGGTCTAAGTCCACCGGAAGTGTGTTGACTGGGTGGGATGTCTGCTCAGGTGCTTTCTGTGCCTGAGCTGTGTATCAGGTGCTGTCCACATGCTCATTGCCCTTCTGGTCTTCAGGGCTCTCTGAGGAGACCTCAGTGACCCATTTTATAGCAGTGTGAGAAGTGACAACGTTAAGTAACATGCATATGAAGAAAAGCTAATCAGTGAACAAGTTTAGATGTCTTATGTCTGATTTTTTTCTCTCCTCTCCCTGGAGGGTTCGCATAGGCATATGGCATATGTGACAGTTTATTGAGGGGCATAAGGAGGTCCCTGCAGCGGTTGGATGTGGGAGCCCTTATCATCCATGTCTTAGTTTCATTTCTTATTGCTGTGATAAAATTGCCTGACAAGGGCCTGACAGTGGTTAGGATAAGCATGTGCTGTCCTTGCACAGTACTGGAGTTCAATTCCCAGAACCCACATTGGGCAGCTCACAATCACCATTAACTACAGCTCCAGGGCATCTGACACCCTCTTCTGGCCTCTGAGGGCACCTACATGTAAATTTTTAAAAATCTGGGGCTGAAGAAATTGCACAACGGTTAAGAACACTTGCTGTTCTTTCAGAGGATCCAGATTCAGTTCCCAGCACTCACATGGCAGCTGCCTCACAACTGTCTGTAACTCCAGTACCAGGGCATCAAATGCCCTTTTCTGGCTTCCAAAGGCACCGGAATGTAAGTGGTATACATACATACATACATGTAGGCAAAACACTCATACACATAAAATGAAAATAAATAAATCTTTAAAAAAATGTAAAAAAAAAAAATAGCTGGGGTGTGGTAGTGCAGGCCTTTAGTCCCTGGGAGGCAGAGGCAGGCAGATCTCTGTGAGTTCCAGGCCAGCCTGGTCTATATAGCGAGTTCCAGGCCAGCTGTGCTCAGCCCACTTTCTCTTTTCATTTAGTCCAGGGCCCAGCACATGGGACTGGAGAGATGGCTCAGAAGTTAAGAGCATGTATCATTCATCCACAGGACCCTTGGCAGGTAGCTCACAATACTTGTATCTCCAGGGATCTCCAGTTCTAGAGTGATCAGATGCCTCTGGCCTTCTTGGGCACCTGCACCCATAGGCACATACCCACATGAAGACACACACATACATATAATTAAAAATATAATAAAAATAAATCTTAAAGCCGGGCGTGGTGGTACACACCTTTAGTCCCAGCACCCAGGAGGCAGAGGTAGGCAGATCTCTGTGAATTCAAGGCCAGCCTGGTATACATAGTGAGTTCCTGGCCAGCTGGGACTATAGGGAGACCCTGTCTCAAAATGACCAAAAAAAAAAAAAAATCTTAAAAAAAAAATCCCTCATAGACATTCTCAGAGGCCTTCTTCCCTGGTGATTGTAGATTGTGTTAAATTGAGAATTAAAACTAATCATCACAACCCACCTGCTCCAACTATCACTCTGATTTTAAATTCCTTTTTTTTTTGGTCTTTTTGAGACAGGGTCTCCCTGTAGCCCCAGCTGGCCTGGAACTCACTATGAAGACCAGGCTGGCCTTGAACTCACAGAGATCTGCCTGCCTCAGCCTCCCGAGTGCTGGGACTACAGGTGTGTGCCACCACGCCTGGCTCTGATTTTAAATTCTATCACTAAAATCTCATTTATTCTATAATTAAAGTCTCATTTGTTTGGGGTGATCATATAAAAAATGCAAACAAAGAGCTCTCAAGGATAAACTTGTGTAAAAACCCTCACTTTATTATTGATTGATTTGATTGAGATGGGGTCTCAGGTAACCCAGGCTGGCCTCTAAATTGTTACATAGCTGAGAATGATCTTAAACTTCTGATCCTCTTGCCTTTACTTCCTGAATGCTGGAATTACAAGTGTGTACCACCATACCTAGCTCAAGATGATTCATTAATCCTGATGGTCAACTTGATCTCATAAAGAAGCCTAGGAGATTAGTAAAGTACATCTCTGGGGATATATGTGAGGGTTT